CTTAATGCCATTGAATTGTGCACTGAAAAAAATTTTAAAGGATGAATTTCATGTTATGTATATTTTACCACAATTACAAAAAAAGGGCAAGTTCTTAATAAAAATGATAGTGCACAGGACTCATGAAAGTAAGTAAGCCTAGAAGGAGTTCGTAGGAAGAAAAGGGAATGTTTGAGGGATTAAAGATTGCAGGGTGTTTGAAGGGAAGATATTTAGGAAGTAAGATTGAGAGAACTGAAACATAATGATGTGCCACATAATGATGTTCAGTCAGCAACAGACTGGTATACAACGGTGGTTCCCTAAAATTATAATGGAGATGAAAATTTTTCATTGTTTAATGACGTGGCAGCTTTCATAACATCTTAACAGAATACTTCCCTCATTTGTTTGTGGTGATACTGGTGGAAACAAACCTTTTGCATCACAGTTTGGTAAAAATATAACACATACAATTATGTACAGTACATAATATTGATGATGATAATAAATGACTATTTTTCTGTTTTGTGTACTTACTTTTATCATTTTTAGAGTGCACTTTTTCTACTTGTAAAAAAAGTTGGTTGTAACATAGTGTGCTGTGTTAGCCTGCAGCAACCCATACATCTCCTATTTACCACATCTCTTAGTTGCATCATTTTCTCTTGTGCTTAATTTAATCTTGTGTTGTTTTGTACAATGTAAGCATATTATGCTTATAGTATACTAGAGGCTCAGTGCACGAAATTCGTGCATGGGGTGTGTGTGTGTGTCCCTCAGCCCAGCCTGCACCCTCTCCAATCTGGGACATCCCTCTCACAATTCAGGACTGCTGGCTTCCGACTGCTCGCCTGCCGGCCTGCTTGATTGCCCCTAACTGCTTCTGGCTGCCAGCCTGATCACCCCCTAACCAATCCCCTGCCAGCATGATTGATGCTTAACTGCTCCCCTGCAGGCCTGGTCACCCCCAGCTGCCCTCCCCTGCAGGCCTGGTCACCCCCAGCTGCCCTCCCTTTCAGGCCTGGTCACCCCCAACTGCCCTCCCTTGCAGGCCTGGTCCCCCCCAACTGCCCTCCCCTGCAGGCCTGGTCTCCCCCAACTGCCCTCCCTTTCAGGCCTGGTCCCTCCCAACTGCCCTCCCCTTCTAGCCATCTTGTGTTCACATGGGGGTGGCCATCTTGTGTGTTGGAGTGATGGTCAATTTGCATATTACCTCTTTATTAGATAGGAAGATAGGATAGGCTTGCTTCTTGTAGTACAGGCTTGTAGCTGAAGAGCAGTAGGCGATACTATACAGCCTAGGTGTGTAGTAGGCTGTAATATCTAGGTTTGCGTAAGTGCACTTGATGTTTGCCAATGATGAAATCACCTAATGAAGCCTTTCTCCGAATGAATCTCCATTGTTAAGCAGACCATGACTGTAACAGTGAGATGTGTTGCCTGATGTTTTGGAATGTTAGGATTTCAGTGGTCGAATGCTTCCAGTTAATACAATTGAGGATGTGACCATGGGTGTGCACTGCTAAATACGAGTAGGAAATGACAGTCTTGAGAATTGAACATGAATAAATTCACACAGGAGAGAGGGTAGAAAGCAAGCCTGAGTTGAATGTTGAAGATGAGTAGATGTCAGTGGTTGATTTGCAGGGGTCTCAAAGGAAAAATTATTTACTTCTACTCTATTTCTTTGTT